CTAAGGCACTTGACTGCTAACCAGAAGGCTGGCGGTTCAAACCCACCAGCCACTCCTCGGAAGGAAGGTTGGGCAATCCTACTTCCGTAGTGATACTGCTTCGGAAACCCAAGGAGTGGTTGCTATGAGTCGGGGCCGACTCGACGGCAAATAACAACAACAACAACAACAAGGCTCCATACATTAACGGCATGATATCTCTTCTGGCATAATTAGCAATAAAATGGTTAAGAGCATCTTGGAATAGGTTAAACTAGCATTAGTCAAACAGCCAACTTTTGAACAGTTTTGCATTTGTTCTGAACTATGTTTGATTTGAAAAAACTATCAGAGAATACCATGAAAGGGTTAAGTGAAAGCATTTTAAAACTAATTTAGTGAGATAGTCTAAGTGAAGAGGAATTATAATCAGCATGAATTTAAAGTTATTAGAGGAGGTCTGTAAACTGCAAACCTTTAAAAGCTTTGACAGCTAATCATTTTTTTTGTAGATGAATTCTTGTATTAAAAATCCCAAAATTCTTCTATTGAAGTGTTCCATTGAGTATCTTTACAGAGAAGAAACCAAATTTACTTGCATAGATCCTATTGTGCTTCAGGTAAGGACTTATTACTGAAACACATGGAATTTGGAGGAATGTTTGTTTACCATCATGCTTGTAAATTCTTAATTATGACTCATTCTAGTGTGGTACTAAACACAGTGCTTTGTATCTAGTCGAAATAGTTGTTTGGAGTTGGACCTTGGAGAGGAAATTTATTTGCTATCCCCACGTCAGAAGCCAGAAACTTAAAAAAACAAAGTTACACTTTTTTGGAGTGACACAAGTAAAATTATTTTAAATGGTGTTAAATTACAATCTAGTAAGCACTGTAGGATATTAACACATTTCAGGAAAAAATCCTATTTTCTTAGCAATGAGAGAATTTCAAAATCTAGTTACAGTTTCTATCAATAAAACAGAGAAAGGTAAGAAGAAATATACTCCATGATAGGTTGGGCTCATTGGAGGAACAGACTAATCTATTGCTATTGGCAGTGAACATTAGTAAAACCTTGTGCAAAAACACTTTAGACATATGGGGCCTGTTCTGGTTACCTAGTGCTGCTCTGACAAGAATATACCACAAATGGGATGCCTTTAACAAACAGGAGTTTATTCTCTCACAATTTTGGAGGCATTAAATCTGAGTTCAAAGTGCCAGGCTGTAGGGGCTGGGAGAAAGCCCCTCAACTATGGGCTTCAGCTCTGCCTCCTGCTCTCACCCACTGAAACTGGAGGCTTTTTTCCCCACTCAGACAGCTGCTGGCTGCTGAGGCTAACAAGCCCAAAGTTGACAACTAAAAAGACACAGTCCCAATGTTACCAAACAGCATGGCAGGCCACTAATTCAAGTCCTGATGAAGTTCCAAGATCGGCAGGATATGGCAGGCTATTGAATAACGACCTGGCTACATGCAGGGTTCAAGTGTGCCAGAAGGCTGGAGACCATTCCCAAAGCTGTTTGTTACACACAGGAAGCAGACCACATCCCTAAAGCAGCTACTTAGCTGCTCCAATAGATTCCACCATGGAATTAATTACCAGTCTTGCCATGGGGAATAACTATATCCAGCTGACCAGCCACTCAACCAGGCCCAGTAAAGTTAACACACAAACTTAACTACTATAGGGCCCGAGTGACAAATGTGCATGCCTTCATTTGTCTCCTGTCTGGAACCAGAAATTTAATGAAACAATTAATGAATTGTATTGTTTTAACTCTGGCTCTCATTTACATTTTTATTTGCTTTGGAATTTAGCCTTTGTCATTAAATACTATTAAGCATTGTATTTTAGGTTTTTAACTAAAATACTTTAGCTATTGTAAGTAGAATATAATCTATTGGGTGACTGGAATCAGTAAGTATCTGAAATGACATCTGTTATAGAGTTATTTATTCAGATAACTCAAAGAACAGATACTCTGATTAGTTTCAGAATATAAAAGGGAAATCCATAACAATGTTAAAAACATCTAGAAATTGCTTTCATTTTGGGGATTTTGAGGGGTGTGTGTGTGTGTGTGTGTGAGAAAGAGAGAGAGAGAGGGAGGGAGGGAGGGAGGGAAGGAGGGAGAAGTCCTTGGAGAGCCAGCTGATTGGATTCTTGGTTTTATATTTCTGGTAATTAAGAATCGAAAATCCTTCAAAGTAGTATCAGTGAGTCAGAGAACGGAATCTCTCTTTAAACTGTCAGCATAATGAACCCAGTTCAGGATGATTCATGGGATTCTTGGTTGTATTTGAACTAATTTGCTTATAAAATTACTGCTGGATGAAGCAAATTAAGACTGAGATTGATATTAATAGTCAAACTAGTCCTATAATTTAATATGACTAGATTTTAAATTGACCTAGGTATAATATTTCTGGTTTATCTTTGCTTAGGAAAGAGAATTCTTGAAGAATTATGTTCAGCGAATAGTTGATGTTCGACCTACATTGGTTCTAGTTGAGAAAACAGTGTCTCGGATTGCCCAGGACATGTTGCTGGAACATGGCATTACTTTGGTCATTAATGTAAAATCAGTGAGTGTTCCTCTTTTTGTATTTTATATCAGTTTGAAAACAAAAATCACAGCTGTTAAATTGATACGCATGTAGTAGATGTACAGGGATCTGTGATTATCTTTTTTTTGCTGCTCCACATTGTTTGAAAAGTGGAACAGAAGGCATTGGCAGTTGTTTCATTATTTAAGACTGGAGAATCTCAGGCTGGAAGAAAAGGTGGTTGGTTAGGTAACACTCATTATATAGGTCTATGAGAGCAAAGATATAATAATATTAGCTCATTAGTAATATTTGTTGGTCTTTCATTTTGTTTGGGAAATTGTACAAGCAGAAAAGGTTCTCTCCCTTTAAAAACTTACCCTGCAAAGGCATTAAAAGACCTCAAATAAGGAGATCAATTCTAGGAAGTTTTTTGTTTTTTGTTTTTTTTTGTCCCCTCTTCCTCCTCCAAGGAGCTCTGGTGGCCCAGTGGTTAAGGCATTTGGCTACTAACCAGATGGTCAGTGGTTCAAACCCACTAGTGGCTATACAGGAGGAAGATGAGGCAGTCTGCTATAAAGATTTACAGTCTTGAAAACCCTATGGGTTGCTATGAGTTGGAATCGACTTGATGGTAGTAGGTTTTTGGTTTCCTCCTCGGTACTTGTGCCAGTGCATAGTGTTTACATAGTGTTTAAATGCCATTGATTATTAACAGAAACAGGGCTTGTTTTAGTGGACACATTGATTAGTAAGCAACTAAGTGTAGATTTAAGCTACATTAAAAAGTTCATCATATAATCATTCAAATCATGGAAGTTTAGTGTAAGGATTACTTTTAAATATTCCCATTATTTTTCTGGATTACATTTGCTGATTTTCATTTGTCTCTAATTTTATAATATAATGTTTTCCTGTGTTGTAGCAAGTTTTAGATCGAATCAGTCGGATGACCCAAGGTGATTTAGTAATGTCGATGGACCAGCTGCTTACAAAACCACACCTAGGCACCTGTCACAAATTTTATATGCAGATGTTCCAGCTGCCTAATGGTGAGTGATCTTTAGTATAAATCCGCCTGAGACTGGGGACATCAGTCAGTGAGTTAACGTCTCAGTACTACAGGGTTCACCTGAAAAGATGTATCTATCAGCAGTGTTAAATGAGAATCACTTAATCACTTAAAGATTTTTCTCCTGTAGATGGGTAGTGAATTAATTCTGTCTGGACTTCATATTGCCACCCAAGTGATAACTTTTTGTTTGCTTATTTGTAGAACAAACCAAAACACTGATGTTTTTTGAAGGCTGTCCACAGCACCTAGGCTGCACCATCAAGCTTAGAGGAGGCTCTGATTATGAACTGGCCCGAGTTAAGGAGATCCTAATATTTATGATCTGTGTAGCTTATCATTCTCAACTAGAAATCTCCTTCCTTATGGATGAATTTGCTATGCCACCCACATTAACTCAGAACTCTTCCTTCCATTCTCTGATTGAGGGGTGTGGGGAAGAAGGGGTTGCACAAGAGCAGTTCATTGGCAGTCCCCTCCCCCGGGACCCTGACTTCCCTCCTGAGAGGCCACCTGTGGTATCAGAGGCTCTGCCCTCTGATGACAGCAGTTTGTTGGACGCAAGGGTTGTGTTTGAGAAGGGTGACCAGGAAAACAAAAGTTCCCTGCAGGATGTTGCCTCCTTGAAGCATCAAGAGTGTGCCACAACAGCTTGCCTGTCGGGGATCCCTTGTGCTCTCTTTTCATCATTACCAGAATCATTGCTGCCACTCCACATGGATGACCAACAGGATGTCATTGGCAATGAGCAACCAGAGACTTTGCAACAAATAGATGAGCTACAGGATCCCAAAAGCCACATAAGAGCCTTTAGAGACCCTCTACAGGATGACACCGGATTATATGTTACAGAGGAAGTCACCTCTGAAGATAAACGAAAGACTTATTCTTTGGCCTTCAAGCAAGAATTAAAAGATGTGATCCTGTGTATCTCTCCAGTAATCACATTCCGGGAACCCTTCCTTTTAACTGAAAAGGGCATGAGGTGTTCTACCCGAGACTATTTCGCAGAACAGGTGTACTGGTCTCCTCTCCTCAATAAGGAGTTCAAGGAAATGGAGAGCAGGAGGAAGAAGCAGCTGCTCAGGGATCTCTCTGGACTTCAGGGCATGAATGGAAGTATTCAGGCCAAGTCTATTCAAGTCCTGCCCTCACATGAGCTAGTGAGCACTAGGATTGCTGAGCATCTGGGCGATAGCCAGAGCTTGGGTAGAATGCTGGCCGATTATCGGGCCAGAGGAGGAAGAATTCAGCAAAAAAATTTAGATCCTTTTGCCCATGCAAAGGATGCATCAGGCACTGCCAGTGGCAAATCAGGAAGCAAAACTGAGAGTGATGAAGAGAAAGGGTTGATTCCAAGTGATGCATTGTGGTCAACGAAGGTAAGCTAGGCCACTTTTGGGTGTTCATGTAAATTTATGATGGGTTGAGAAACTGCTGTGTCAGAGTAAAACAATCCAGTATGACAGATCACATGCAGACTGATGAAATACTTTTTCTGTGCTATTTTTTTGTCTTGAGTCTGCCTACTTGTGTGTTGCTTCAATAGATACAAAATAGGGGTATGAAGTATTGGAACTGGGTTGTGGGGATTTGAAACTGAGCTAACAGAGGTAGCTTTGAGGTAGGGGAAGGTGTAGAGACTTAAACTTTCTGGCAGGATGACCTGGGTGGGAATGATTGATTCTTTTAGTAGTAGTGATGGAGAGAGTAAGAGAGAAACTTATTGTAGAAGCTTATTGTATGGGCATGGGTGTGGGTGGGTGTGTTTAATGGTAGACCAATTATTATTATTATTTTTTTCTCTGGTTTGCATTTTTTTTTTTTTTTTCTGTTTTTCATTTATTTTTTTTTTTTGTTTTCTGAGACCAATTATTTTTAAAATGAAACATTTTACATTGGCCTTTAAAGTGACAATGACACTTGTCCTTTTTCTTTTGGGGGCCACATTATTGGTAATGGTGATAATAAAACTAAAAAATAAACCCATCTCAAGATGAGAAAATGCAAATGTTTAATGAACAAAAAGGTGTTCAATTTTACTGGTAGTTAGGATGCTAAATAATACTGGGTGGAATAATGACAGCACATTGTTTCTTATGGTGAGGATGGCAAAAATCAATGAGGGTGGAATATAACTCAGATTCTAGATGAATGTGTATTTATGTTTATACGCATTCACATGAATTTATGGAAGGTTACAGGGAAGTCTGTTAATTTCCACACATAAAGACATAGCTTTGATCCAACTTCTACAGAAATAAGTAAGCATGTTTATACAAGGATACTTAAATTTTATAGGAATATACATAAAAGAATGTTTGTTGAAGCATTGTTTCCAGTCTGCAGTAAAATGGATAACTGGGATCTCATTTAATGACCTGGATAGAGGCCACAATATATTTTAAGTGTACAAAAACAAGTTGTTTTTAAATATATTTAGTATCAGCCATTTTAATAAACAAAATCACGTGTGTGTGTGTGTGTGTGTGTTGAGCTAGCGTGAAGAGTGGGTACCTTTTAACCACACTGTTAAATTTAGCCACCTCAGGAGTAAGGAGGAAATGCCATGCAAGGAGAGGCTTTATGTACTTAGTGATTTCTTCATGTCCCTCTGTACAGTTTGAACTTTAACAGGGAGTAGCTGTTACCTTGTAATGATCAAATACAAGTATAAAGTACAACACACAAATACTTTAGGATTTAGATTTCTGGGTGTTCCAGATTGATGTTATATCTAGCCGTCAGCTCAGACTATTTCATATGGATACATTTAGTTAACTACTCACTTTCAGAATAATTTAGTACAGTTTTATAAAAGTAAAGAGTATATAAGTGAAAAACTTGAGCTATTTAAAGATTTGTTTGTATTTTTAAGTTTAACTTAAGATTTTTGGATTTTCTTATGTCAGAAACCTACTGCTCTTCTTCCTTATATTTAGTTTCTTATTGTTTTAGATCTCCCCCTGGACCCCTACAGGGATGATAAGAGGCTCTAAAAATAGAGTGGAGACTGTTGGAAGTTTGCATAAGGAGTTGAGTGTGACGACTTCTGGTTGCTCTTCCAGGTGGACTGTCTGAACCCTGGTAACCACCAGAGGCTGTGCGTGCTCTTCAGCAGCTCTTCGGCGCAGTCCAGCAACGCCCCCAGTGCCTGCGTCAGTCCTTGGTAAGACTTGTGTTCCATGCACCGTTAGGCGTTACTTCTGCACAAAATCCCAGCAGCTTAAAAAAAAAAAAAAACCATCAGGGTCTGTTTTTAGGTACATAGTACTTTGCTAGGAGCTCTGGTAGCGTAGTGCCTAAGGCACTTGACTGTTAACCAGAAGGCTGGCAGTTCAAACCCACCAGCCACTCCTCGGAAGGAAGGTTGGGCAATCTACTTCCGTAGTGATACCGCCTCAGAAACCCAAGGAGGGGTCGCTATGAGTTGGGTCTGACTCGATGGCACATAACAACAACCACAACAACAGGTACTTTGCTGGTTGTATATGAATTGGTAGAAAATTTTAAACTTGTGAATTAAATATGAAATTTTTTTGTGTGTATATTTGTGGATAGAAGTAAATGACAGAGTTGTAAGGTTGTAAAGGATGTGGGGGATAAAAGAGAAATTTGTAATTTTAAACACCAGAAAGTTGACACATAAAAGCTAATTTGTAAGTATTTTGATAATTTATATAATTTAGCCAGGTTTTCCTTGAGGTATCCTTTTCATAAAATCAGCTAACCTTTTGCCTTACTAATGGATTTATTCTAAAACTAAGGTCTAGGTAAATTGATACAGATAGAACACATTTTATAACATTATAATTATTTCTTTCAAACAATAGTCACAAAAGTAGTCAACCTTTACTTTTAAAAGTACTGTGAAACAGAACTGCTTTTTCGGAGTACTGTTTCTATGACAAAATGTATTCCGTGTTTCAGTTTTGGGACCAGAAACATTGACTTCCAGCAGCAGGATCAGAGGTTCCCCTGAAGTGGAACCGCTGACGCTGGACTTGGGCTGGAGGAGCCACAGGCATCTTCTCTGGCCGTTTATGGACTTCCTTTAGATCGGAGCTTAAAAAGATGTGTGTTTCAACAGGGTTATAGCTAAACTCCTTTATTTGTGAGCCTTTATGAATTAAGTGTAAAGTTAGGAATTGGCTTTTCTGCAAGAATACAAACTGCTATTCTCCATGTTCAGAAAGAAGAGGTGTGAAACTTATTCTAGATCAACAATGTAACCTGCTTTAATACTCTGTTATGAACTTAAATACCAGGAATCAGATTTTATGGTCTCATGAAAATCTTTGCTGTCTGGTAATTCTTATGCTATCTTTCTAAGAAATGATTTCTTCTTTTAGGATTGTAACAATGGAATTTTATGGAAAGAATGATCTTACATTAGGGATCTTTTTAGAGAGATACTGTTTCAGGTAAGAATAAATTATCTTTTTATGTTCTATTTATGCATTTTTGATGCATAAATTTCAACCTAAAACATATGTGAGGGATGTCAAGTATTGTTTTGTGGTCTTCAGTTTCATAGCACATGCCAGAGTATTCCATAAAAAGGAATAATTTATTTCATATTTAGACAGGGACGTCTTGTTCAGTGTATCCTCAGATCTTTGCTCAGTTAATCACTCTGCCGTCCCAAAGACTTTTCCAGGAAGTCTGTTTTTATAGGGAGGCAGCCGAGATGCAGGGAATCTTTGGAATCGGCTAGACCTTGGTTCATTCTCAGGGCTGTCACTTATTATTTATGTGACAAAGAGCAAGTAATTTCATCTTTACAAGCCCCAATTATTGGGGATAACAATCTCCAGAGATTTCAGTGGTTTTAATAGGTTAAATAAGATGATGTTTTAAAAATGCTTGGTGTAACATAAAGCTGTCAGAAGGTGCTTACCAAATGGAAAGACCACCCTGCTGCAGTTTAAGATGAGGTGTTCAATGCAGACAGAGGGGCTTGAGTGGTCGTTTAATGATCAGATTGTCCGCAGATCATTTCTGCTCTAGAGAGGGTGTGCTGCTTTTTTTGACAGTGGTTCTGATAAGCCAGTATTCTTTATACATTGTTTCTCTTTGATGATTAACGTGAAAAGGATTATCTTGTTTGTCAAAGGCCTTCATATCAGTGCCCTAGCATGTTCTGTGACACCCCCATGGTGCATCATATTCGGCGTTTTGTCCATGGCCAAGGCTGTGTGCAGATAATTCTGAAGGAATTGGATTCTCCAGTACCTGGATATCAACATACAATTCTCACATATTCCTGGTGCAGAGTCTGCAAACAGGTAAATGTACCCTATTACTATAACAGTTCATATAATATCACATATTTCTTTATTTGTATAGTTCTTTTTTTGAGGAGGGTGTTCTATATTATTTTGGTCGTGTTTGTCATTGGGTTGTTATTAACTTCATTTTCCCTTCCACTGCTGTATGATCAACTTAGTATTTGGTTTTTAAAGGTTTTGTTTTTGAAATATGTTTTTGCTATTGTTAGAAGCCATCAAGTTGGTTCCAGCTCACAGTGACCCTGTGTACAACAGAACAAAACACTGCCTGGTCCTGTGTCAACTTCCCAATAGTAGCTGTGTTTGAATTGTTGCGGCTACCATGTGACTCTGTTAAGAGTCTTCCTCTTTTCTGCTGACCCTCTACTTTACCAAGTGGGATGCCTTTTCTAGGGACTGGTCCCTACTCATAACATGTCCAAAGATCATGAGACAGAATCTCACTATCCTTTCTTCTAAGGAGCATTCTGGCTGTATTTCTTTTAAGATAGATTTGTTTATTCTTCTGGCACCAACACCATAATCAAAAGCATCAATTCTTTTTCAGTCATCCTTATTTCACTGTCTAGCTGTAGCATGCATATGAAGCAATTGAACATATCATGGCTTGAGTCATGTGCACTTTAGTCCTTGCAAAAACGATGAGGAGGCCACATGTTCTGACCTCCTCTAATCCCACAAGAGGAAGACGGGGTTACCAGCAGTAACCCAAGGCCTATTACTGCAAGGCCAGACATGCTGCTTCCCTCCAGCCCTTTCTCCAACTGTTCCTCTCAAAGCACCCACCACCTCTCTCCTGGGTTCGATAATTCACTGCAGTGGCCACACAGAGCTCACAGATTATGGGGTTTATTAGGGAAGCACTAGGCTACAATTCGAGTTCAAGAAAAATGCTCAGTCTCTCTCCCAGCCCACCGTCCCTCAGCCAACAGTCTCTCACAGTCTCTTTCCCAGCAGTGCTGGTCCTTCGGTGTCTCACTCAGCAATGCGTGTCTCTTGCGCCTCTTTCCCAGCAACGCGTGTCTCAGGAGCCCATGTCTCTTTCAGCAGCATGTCTTCCTCAACCAGTCGGAGAGTTCTGCCTCTAGGAGACCTTCTTTTGAGCCCGGCAGGGTGGTCAAACTAGCCAATTACAGCATCAGAACTCTAAGCACCTGAGAGAGAGTGGGCACCTCCCAGACCATTGTTTTGTCCCACTCCCAACAGAAATACTCTAGATGGACAACTTCAGCAATCAGGAGCTCCTCAGTTGCTCATAGCAAATCCCACCTTGGAGTTTACAAAGACTTATCAGTAGAAAAGCCACACAAAGTAATTTACTACACTGCAGTCCTCAAAGTGTGACATATTTGCTTTTTAACACTCCAAATGTATCTTTTGTTAAATAAAATACAAGATCTCAGTATCTGAGTTGTATCTTTCCAGTTCTCAATTATGTTTATCCATTCAGCAAACATTTATTGAGTACTGTCTGTGTGCAAGGTACTGTGTTGTTGTTGTTACATGCCATCGAGTTGGCCCTGAGTCATAGCGACCCCTCTTTGGGTTTCCGAAGCAGTATCACCACAGAAGTAGATTGTCCAACCTTCCTTCCGAGGAGTGGCTGGTGGGTTTGAACCGCCAGCTTTCTTTAGCAGTCAGGTACCTTAGGCACTATGCTTACGGAGCTCCCAGGTACTGTGTTAGGCCCTAGGAATAACAAAAGAATATGATACAGCTTTTGACCTATAGGGGAAAAGATAGACTTACAATGTTTGTAAAATAAATTTGAGCCCATATCAGTGTTTCTGTTTTAAGAGATACAGATGAAAGGCTGCTGCTTCTCTAATGGTTTTCATGTACATTTTAGAGAAAAAGATCATGTGTTTTATTTCTTCTGTGTGCCTGTCTTTACTTTTCCAAATCTGAAGCAAATTATTTTATACTATGCTTTTTTAATATCTAAATTGTTTGCAGTGCGTATGTGCCAAATTTAACTTCATTGTTCTTATAACTGTTGTTATGATAATTGTTATGTTCACAGTATTTATTTGTGCTTTTGGAAGGCACATTTGGGAATTATACAGATAAAGTAAAGTTGTTATGTGCCGTCGAGTTGGACTCGACTCATAACGACCCCTCCTTGGGTTTCCGAGGCAGTATCACTGTGGAAGTAGATTGCCCATCCTAACTCACCAGCCGCTCCTGGGGAAGGAAGGTTGGGCAATCTACTTCCACAGTGATACTGCCTCAGAAACCCACGGAGGGGTCGCTGAGTCAGGTCCGACTCCACGGCATATAACAACAAAAGATAAAGTAATAGTGTGACCTATATTAATTTATTTGTGATTGAGGAGACCAAAATCAAAGTTGTTTTCTTCTGCAGCATCAAACATATAGGCATGACATCATTTCTTGTAATTACCAAGATGTTCTTACAGGCCTTTAGTTCCTGTTGGATGGCTAGTACTGTCTTGTTACAGAATATATAAACCTCTGTAGAATGACCAGTGCACTAATATGAATACATTGTATATCCACATAATGAGATATTCTCTGGCTATTTTACATGGGAAAATATTCACACTACATAGCTAAGTGAAAAAAATGAAAGGCTGTGAAACTAATTACAGGAAAGGATTTTCATTTACAGATACACTGGCTATGCACATACGTGTTCATGCATAGGAAGAAAGTGAACATGAACTAAAACTAGCATATTGATGCTGGTGGTGGGGTTACTGATGATACTGGTTAGCCTTGCTACCCCCAACTCTACCCACCTTTGAACTTTTTCTTTTCCTAGTTTTCTGCAGTCGGACTATATTAGATTTGTATCAGAAAAGAAAATATATTATTTTTTAAAAAGTGTTTCTCAAAATGTATTTACATAAATTGTTTATTCTGAATTTCAGGTAACACCAGTTGTTGCTCTTTCCAATGAGTCCTGGTCCATGTCATTTGCAAAATACCTTGAGCTTAGGTTTTATGGGCACCAGTACACTCGTAGAGCCAATGCTGAGCCATGTGGTCACTCTATCCACCACGATTATCACCAGTATTTCTCTTATAACCAGATGGTGGCATCTTTCAGGTAAGAAGTGAAAGGAACCTTGTAAATGGTCCCATGCTTCCTCGAATGCTTTGTCACATTTCTCCTGCACTAGATTGAAATAATCTGTGAACGTGTTGTTCCCCCTTCCCATCCCTGCAAATGCAGAGGGCCAGACTATAGTAAGAGTTTTTAGTATATTATTTTTGTTAAATCCTTACTAGAGCCCCAGGAAACAGGTATTATTATTATTATCCTGACTTAATAGACCTAGTAAGTGATGGAGTCATGATTTGATACCTGGTTGATCTGCTACCACAGACCTCACTCTTAGCCTTTGTTTATGCATCTGAGAGTCTCTCAGGATTTTTGCTATGATATTAACTAGCATAAGGATAATTGGATATTCTGGACAGGGCTAAAATGACAAGTTAAAAAATAAGTATTTACTGTTTGGTATTAAAAGACTTGAGAAAGCTTTCGGGCTCTGCCTTCAGGATGTAACCGGAATGGAAGCACTTCTCACCACTTTCACACTACCGCTGTGTACTGGGCCTCTGTTATCTTTGAACTCAGTCATCAGGGTAGCCTCAACCGGTCTTCCTCCGCCCTTGCCTCCTGCAACCAGTTGTCAACACAGCAGAGTGATCCTGTTAAATGAAAATCAGGCCAGGCCCTCCTCTGAGTGTCTTTTTCCCCCTGAGTGAAAGCAGAGCGTATTTATTGGCCCCGCACTTCCTGCTCTGGCTGCCCAGTAACTCTCTGTTCTCACCTCCTATGGCTCGCCCCTTGCTGACCTCCTAGCTGGGCCTTTGAGTAGTCTTACGCCTTGGAGGCTTGTGCTTGTTCTTCCCTCTCTGAACTAATTTTTCCTCAGACATCTGTCTGCTGTTTCCTTATTTTCCTGTGGATTGTTCGAATTTAACCTTCCCCGACACCCATTTTTCCCAGTGCTCTTTACTTATCTTTCTTGCTTTATTTTTCTCCATAACACTTACAAATATTGTTGTTGTCGTCGTCATGTGCCATTGAGTTGGCCCTGATTCATAGCGACCCCTCCTTGGGTTTCCGAGGCGGTATCACTATGGAAGTAGATTACCCAACCTTCCTTCCGAGGAGTGGCCTTCTGGTTAGCAGTCAAGTGCCTTAGGCACTATAAATATTTATTTTGTTTATTACTTGAATCTTATTGTTCCTTAATTACAAGAGCAGGAAATTGGCCCTTGTTTAAGTGCTATATGGAGATCCAACATCTAAGTAGTGACTGACACACAGTAGGCACTTAGAAAATATGTGCTGATTACAGCTTATTTCCTTTTTTAAGCAAGAATTTTTAACCATGAACCTAGGGTCAAGATGAAGGATAGCATTTACTAGACACACACAAACACTGCGGTGAAAAGGAAATGAAGACCAATGAAGAATCTTCAGGAGCTGGGGAGGTAACAAATACCTATGAAGCTGATTGTAGGAAGGAGTCTCTCTCTTCATTCGTAGAGAGTTTATTTGAAATGATTTTTGTTTATGTAGCAGGGGAGGATTAGCCTCAGGAGACAAATGATGGCACCTCAGTGCAGTGGAAAATCAAACAAAACAAAAATCTGTCCTGAAATGGGGAGGACATTTATAATGGCTGAAAGTTGTCTTCAGAATCTTTATGATTGTTTTAAAATGCCATTTTATAGAAACTTTCTCTCATGTGTCATTGGACTTAATTGCCTATCATGATAAATCTCTATTAAACGTATTGAATTATTTTTATTTCTCTACTATTACTTGTATTTTCGTCTCTCAGTTATTCTCCCATTCGGCTTCTTGAAGTATGTGTTCCACTCCCCAAAATAGTCATTAAACGTCAGGCCCCACTGAAAGTGTCTCTTCTTCAGGATCTGAAGGACTTCTTTCAAAAGTAAGTACATGTTTTAGTTTCTTTGACCACCTTTTTTTGTTTAATGCTGTCGGTAATCTATAGCAATTTTAAAATGTCAGATTTGGTCATTTAAATTAGAAATTTAAGAAACTTATATTCCAGTTTGTCTTTAAAAAATATGAATATTTTATTTTTCTAATTACAGAATATTATATATGCTTGGTGTAAAAAAAAAGATGTAGACAATATAGAAAAGTAGAGAAATGAAGTAAAACTCTTTCAGACATAAAAATAAAATTTTGATGTACATCCTTTTAGGACTTAATTGCTCTACAAAATAATATTTAATTCTTTTTTCTTTATTTTTTTATCAACTTTTTTTTTTTTAATTT